CCCCCCCCCCAATTGAGAGGCAGCTTGCTGCTAATTAGCTTGGGCATGGTTTTGCATATTGTATTTTTTTAATTTCTTCATGAGTTGCACCAAAGGAAGGTGTAATTGTGGAATTGGAGGGGGTCGCTTCTAGACAGACTTGAGACACAAAGTGTTGGAAGCGCTGATTGCTGTCTTTCTTTTAGAGCCAAATGTCAAACAAAACTGAACAACAGCCCATTTGTGCTTCATAATATGATTTGAAAAATTTTATAAGAAATAAGTTATATTTAAGTGTCATCTATAAGTGCATTTAGAAAAGTAAATGTAAATCTTGAAACAATTTTAGAGAATCAATCAACTTAGATTTCCTGCCTGGTAGGATGGTGTTTGACTTTTAAGGCTGTGGCAAATCTTTCCTTAAAAGTCATTTTTTCTGTTGGACGTTGAAAGTTTTGCAAAAGCAGAAAAAAAAAAACACTTTTAGGTGATTGGGCCTCCGGCTGAGTTTAGGAAAAACACATTCCATATGTATTGAGACTTATCACTGAGAAAACTCTGAGCTGCTCCAGATTGCAGACTTTAGACACTGAATCCCGTTGAAGCTTCGCTTTGCATCTTTGCGTGCGTTTCTATGTRTGCCTTTGTTTGCCGCATGCATATACTGTACTTTGCGATCACATTTGTTAACATGGCATTTATGTTTGCTGACACATAAATCCATACATACATTAAATGAAGTGTCGTCTGTGGAACATTTAGTTTGGAAGCCGTTTTTCCAGTCATCCTCACATCCTGCTGCAAGCAAGCAACAGATGGTAAGACCGGGCGCTGTGGTCCATTTAGTACCACTGTGTTTGCTAGGAAGTAATTGTGGTTTAACCTGGAGAGAAGCTGAACATTACAGTCATGCAGGCAAACAAATTACAGTCACCTCACTGGTCGGCACATGACTCTATGTGTCTCACGTTCCAGATGGAGTTCGGAAGGAAATCTATTGCTCGAGATGTTGTTTAGACATGATGGACGTGTGTGCACGTTCGCTTCCTTCTACCTGTTTATCTCCTCAACATCTGCTTGTCTCTTTCTTCATTTATCAACCTGTCTGTTGTGGTGGGGTGGCAGATGTTTTTGGGATGCGAGTCTTAAGATGTAAAAAGAGAGACAATTAAAAAAGGGAGGAAAACTCAAATGAACTAAAGAGTCTGCACATTTTTGCCACAAATAGATTTATACTGGATACCAAACACGGCCTGCAGGGATGTAAATACATACAAAAGATTAGTATGGTTTCAGTGAAAGCATTTGTTAGCGTAAGCATTATCAAAAGATCTTTCACGCTGATCTCTCCTCAAATGAAGTCACTTATCTGCTTTGGGTCTTGCTTCCAATGAAGCGTTTGTGAATGAAGTGTTCGTTCGCTGTCAGCCGTCGCTTGCCGTGCCAAGCGCGGCATCAGTAAATCCCCTGCAATCTTTGTTTTGGCTAGTGCGAGGCAGAACGTGATTACCCAGAGTGCTTTGGGAAGTTAATGTTCATGGTCTGCACAGCAGGATTCAAGGATGGATGACGGAGGAAGCGCCTCGGGGCGAGCGTCTCTTCCCTGCCATCTCACTTTCACTGCTTCTGACAACACGTTTACCCCAACAGATGGCTCCAGTGCTCACACAGAGACGCCGCGAAGCTGCGAGGAGCTGCGCGGGCTGCTAAAACAGAACAACAGAAAGCACGAGTTAATGGAGAGTCGAACAGTAAAAGCTCAAAGATGGCAAATATGTGTGAAACTGTGTGAAAGCAAATATGGATTTGTTTGTAATGTCTTGTTTATTAGGTTGTTTATTTCACAGAAAACCTTTGCTTTAGTCAAATTTTATTGTCAATTATAGCTGATAGATAGACAGAGAAATTTTTTCAGGAAATAAGACAAGTCAGAAATATTTTTGTAGAAGAAATGTTAAAGTTATTAATTGTTGCTTTCAAAATTTACCCCAACTCAAGTAATTTTATAATGAGATTTTTGTAAATCTCTATGATTTCCCTGAGATAAAAAATGATTTAAGACAACAATCTGCATTAACTCATCAATCCTGTCAACATTAAACTTAATTTATCCAATTTCAAGTCATYAAAGAGCCACAATACTTGTTTATAATGTTTTTTTACACAAACCCACATTCAAAGATTTGAGCAATCATTTTAAACTCCTGATCTCTAAAGTTATTTACATTTTTCATTTTTAAAACACCAGACTTTGACACTGCTGGAGCTTTTATTTTTTGTTTGTTTGTTTTACATGAAAATATATAATTTTGATATAAGAACTGCAGTCAAATCGGAACAGTAAGTCAAATTCTCTTGTTTTCGTTGTTCACTGAAGACATCAGAGTTTAAGATCAAAAGATGAGCATGAGACAAGACTTCAGAATGTCAGCTTGTATTTCCTGATATTTGCGTGTAGATGTGTTAAACAGCTTCGGATATATCACCGGTTGTATTACACCACAGGATTTTTTGGTGAGTAAATGTATTGGAACAAAATGTCTTAATAACATTTAATATTTGCCGGCATAACCCTTGCAATGACTGCCTCAAGCCTGTGACCCATCAACAACAAACTGTTGCATTCTTCACTTGTGATGTTGTTCCAGGCTTTTACCACAGCTTCTTTCATTTCTCAGTCTCCTCTTCAGGAGGTAAATTCCTCTGTTGGGTTCTGGTCAGGTGATTGACTTGGCCAGTCTAAAACTTCCAACTTTTTCCCCCTGATGAAGTCCTTTGTTTTGTTAGCAGTGTGCTTTGGGTCACTTTCCTGCTGCATGATAAAATTTCTTCGATTAGTTTGGATACATTCTCTGTAAATTGGCAAACAAAATGTTTCTGTACACTTCAGAATTCCTTTTGCTGCCACCATCATCAGTTACATCATCAATAAATATTAATGAGCCTGTTCCAGAAGCAGCCATGACATTACCTGCACCATGCTTCAAAGATGAGCTTGTGTGCTTCTGATCATCAGCAGTTCCTTTCTTTCTCCACACTTTGACCTTTCCATCACTTTGGTAGAGATTAATCTTGGTCTCATCARTCCATAGGATTGTCTTCCAGAACTTTWGCGGCTCATCACTGTACCTCTTTGCAAATTTCAATCTGGYCTTAAGATTCTYATTACTAATGAGTGGTTTGCATCTTTGTGTRTGGCCTCTATWTTTCTGCTCTCTTCAAACAATGGGTTGTGATGCCCTTCATCCCTGAACTGCAGAGGTTGGTGATGTCACTGACGTTTTGTTATTTTCTTCAAAGCTCTCACAATATGTCTGTCATCAACTACTGTTGTTTTCTTTGGCCGACCTGTTGGACGTCTTTTGTTCAGTACACCAGTAGTTTATTTCTTATTCAGGACATTCCAAATTGTTGTGCTATGCCCAATGTTCCAATRTTTGTCCAATGGCTCTGATTGATTTTCCCTTTTTTCTCAGCTTTTCACTTATAGACAATTCTCTGGTTTTCATGATGGTTTACCCTCTTATTTATCCTCTACAAGAAAAATCTACTTTATATGTTTAACCCCAGGACAAACAGTAGACTAGTCATGCAGAGCTACTGTATTTAATATTTGAACAATCAACCTTAAAAGCAGCACCTGGTCAATAAGAAACACCTGTCAGTCTTGTGCTCCAATAGTTTGCACTTGAAAAATGGGTGGGTTCAGACAAAGGGTGGTATGTTCTGAGTTGTTTAACACATCTACATGTAAATACCAGGAAATAAAACAATCTGAACTTGCTCTTCTTTTGATCTTAAACCTAAATATCTTTAGTGAACAACAAAAACAAGAATKTRACTTGCTGTTCCACTACTTTTGGAGGGGGGTGTATGTTAAATGTGGACTTTGGCTCATAAGATGAAATGTAAAGCYTTGTTTTGGTTCATTTGCAAGAAAAAGAAAAAAATTCATAAATACTAAGAACATGAACAACAGTTCATGGTTTTAGGTACCAAATTAAAATGAGCCGAGTGGTCATGCATGGATTAAAGCTGGTCTTTTGTGCTGACTCCACATCGCATGCTCATTGCCGGTGCATAAATTAACTGAAGTTCCTGCATTTCCTGCCTTTTTTATACATTTTATGAAGCCAGTTTTGTTAAACAAAGACCCATCTTCTTTTCATTTTTGAGCTGAAATTCTCAGTAGCGAAATAAAATTTGCAACAATTGTTTGTTATGTGTGAGAGCATGTGAGTCTTTGTGAAAGAAAGGAAAAATGTCAGGCAAGGTGACCGTTTTTTCTCTTGTATGGCTGATTGAACATTACACCATTGGTGTGTGTGTGTGTGTGTGTGTGTGTGTGTGTGTGTGTGTGGCTAAATGAATGGCCGCAGTGGTGTGTGAGGTGAATGTCACACCCATCAAAGTGCACAGGTAATGATGTGCTGGCACTGCTACAAGCCAAAAACCTGGATGTTCACTTACCTTCTCTCTCTCTCTCTCTCTCTCTCGCTCTCTCGCTCTCTCGCTCTCTCTCTCTCGCTATCTCTCACACACACACACACACACTGCATCCCTTAGGCTGCCTTTCACACTAACGTGTCATCCTTTCACAGGGCGCAGTGGAGCATGTTGGTGTGACTCGACTCTCAGGCTCTACTGACGGAGGAAATGGCTGCAGAGAGAAGAGCAGCGAGCTCGGTGCTGCTGGTGGTGTTAAAGGTTAAAGGTCACGCTCACAGAGGCATTGACAGGGTAATAATTGACAATTGACATTTATATTTAGACGAAAACTTTCACCGTAACTCTCAGTTTTGGCTGCTGCACTTTTTCATTTTTGGTAAATATTACAAAAAGTCCTTATGAAGCAATAAGAATTACGTTGTAATCTTGTGTCACTTTTAATATTCAGATGTTTTGTGATGAAATCTCATATTGTCATGATTCTTATTTCCTTTGAAAATGTAACTGTGTTTACTGCTGCCTACCATGGCCAGGATTCCCTTAAAAATAGATTTTGATTGTTTCCTGGTAAAATACAAATTTTTATAGGAAGGAAATTCTTATTGAGACTATAACAAGGAACTTATCTCTTAAAACATAGCAACAGGACAAATGGTTTTTCTTAAAAGTGATTTTAAAAACTTTTATATAATGAAAGGTGAGCAATCATGCCTGTGTGTGTTTGTCTGTTAGCAAATTATCTCATGAAGCGGTGGATGGATTTTAATGATACACTTTAAAAATAACCACCGATCTACAACGAATATAATTTTGTAGTCAATCCATTTCAAAAGTGTCGACACAGCTAATCAATCTTAGCAAACACAAAATGGCTATAATGCAGTGTTGTTGTAGTCCCATCATATAATCTGAGTGCAGACTATGAAACATTTTGGATAAAAACTTTTGCATGGAAGGCAACAGGAAATAGGATTCTAATAAAGGAGTGCTAGTTTAATTTATTCTGTATGTTTTTTTTAGTTGTGCAGAAACTCGTATCATGAAGCAGTGAGAATAATTTGCACCAAAAGGACTGAGAAACATAGGAGTGACTATTTTTTCCCAAATAAGAAAGTCGATGTGCTGCACTGTATTAATGTGAAACCACTGACAACTGACCTAAAGAGAAAATGGCAGAGTCAAAGAAAAAAAAAAGAACAATTAATCTTGTGTTTTTGACAAAAGCTCCCAGCGGTTCGAAGGCATATGAAGAAAAGGAGAGCTGTGTACTGCGGCGAGTGGACATTCACGGCGAACTGACTGGATTCAGCTGGCAACAATTATTCTCAGGTGCCCTCTCACTGCGCTCAGCCATCGCAGAAGGGTCAGTGGCAGCTGTAATTATTATACCCTGGCCCTTTGTTCTCGCTGCAATTTCGGATCATTATTGTTGCTTTCTGTGGAGGAATTGCTCACACCTCAATCGTTACGTCCACATTGGGGGGTCACATTACTTTGCATGTTATTTTGCATGCGATTAAAGACTTAGAAGACACATTGGCAGAAAGGGATACTTCAAACTGTTTTACGCAGGGGGTTAGTGTCTTATTTGTGCATCTCGGTTTATTTCAAGTTATTTATTTATCTGCTTTTTATGCACACAAGTCGACAAAGACTTGTGGTCATTTTAGTGCCAAATAGAGAGACCGGTTATAGAAATACAAAGTACAGTGGTTAAAATCAAGTTCTGATTAGACTTTTTAGTCCTGCTTGTAATCTGACTAAATGAGCCTTTGAGTTGGTTAACCGGCCTAAAAACATTGCCCATTAAGGTAAACAAGATTGTACTTTCTCTGATCTCCCCCATGACTCTGCCCCCTAACCAAATTAAGAGYGACATTTGCATAAGCAAGATGGATGAGATCAGAGGCAAACACTTTCTGGAAAATAAGAGCACCGTTCGACAGAGTGGGGATCTCAGCTGAGACGTCGCAGCCCATTTTAMAGGCCATGTTTCATTTAATTTTTTCTCCCCATGCAAAGAATTTCTGAAATAACCTTTAAGTGTTCGGAGCCCATGGATAAAAAAGCTCTGAGTGATAAAATAACGGAATATGACTAAAAATGAAAGTCTGTAAAAGAAAGTGCTTTGTGTTGTAAGTGATTGTTCATAATCAGACCAGAGACRTTTGAAGCACTTTTGTTCTCCTGGAAATTACTTTCCTGTTGTATTTAAATAATTATTGAATAAGTTTGGCAGAGAACATCGGTTCTCTCAGCTGAGATTCGCAGTTGTTTCCAGTGCATCTGTGGGCCCAAACAGTTTGTCTGCCAGGCAGAAACAAAAAAATAAAAATAAAAATAAAAAAAATTAATATCCAAAAACTTTTCTTGACCTGAGCTCATAATAGATGCTCTGACGTGAAAGGAGCCCTGCCGTCTGGCAAACCACGATGTGAAATTATCTCTGAAATTATGTTTATGTTCCTTCTAATGAGAACCATTTAGTTCAAAAGTCAGCATCTAGCATATCATCATTTGTACATCTGGACCTGGGATGGGCAACTTAAATGATGAAAGGGGTCTCAGTTTTTTATTGACACTACCAGAGGGCCACATACTGCTGCACATTTACCTAAATGTAATAAAACAGTTTGAAGCTGTTTAAAAATGTATATATATGAAGAAATTTATAGTTATTAGAGGTGATGTTAAATGCACAACACTATATTTTTAGGTTTTCCTTTTTGTAATGTTGACAATGTTTAATCTAATATGTTTTGATTGATATAGATTAGTTACATGTTCGAATTATATAACAACACATAATCAACCGTTTTGATGACATTAGCTGAGAATTTTGTCTGAATGCCTGTGATTCAGCCGTAGGTCAGTAGAGGGCGAACGCAGGCATTGAAGAACATGTATAAATTGATGAACTTCCTGGTTTTTCGCCAGTGTTGGCTTCCTGTCAGCTCAAGTGACAATAAACCTCACTCAGATCCAGAATTCTGGTGTTGTATGGTTTGATTCCTTCTACAAACCATTTTATTTAACGATGGTGTTTTTAATATTGACTTCAGTTTATTGAACACGAATTTTCTTACATATATGTGCTTATTAAACCAACAAAAGGGCAGCAACTTAACACATCTCAAGCACAAATGCATGTATAACAGTAGTATTCTTAATGAATATGAATACAAAACATATGAAGTGAGCTAAAGTGCAATGGCACAAGATGCCTTGAGTGCAGACTCCTGTGTGGTTCTGGTTCTGGTAAAAGTTGCTTTTGTTTATGTACTTACTTCTTCACTATACTTCAAATATTTAGCTTTGTGGAACRTGTTCCAGTGGCGACTTGTATTAAAATCCTTCATGGCAGACAGTGTCTCTAAAGGCCCTGTCACACTATGACATTTTCAACCCATTCTCACTCCCATGTCGTCACATATTGACGCTTTTCCAAGGTTCCCTCTACGTCCGATTTTGACGCGCCGGGTACCCCCGTCACGTCAGTTACTGACGAGATGGGGCGAAATCTGTTGTCATATTTTCAGAAAGTGTAGAAAATGCGCAAAAACTACCGTTTCGAAGCCTGAAATTACCTTTGTTCACTTTAGACATCCTGTCCCTGACCCTAGTACGTAAAATTAACCATTTTTAGAAAATGTAGGAAATTCACCTCAACATGTTCCAAAGCCTGAAATTACCTAATATTCACCATGGACATCCTACCCCTGATCCCAGTACCTAAACTTAACCATTAATCCTGATCCCTCATGTTAACCTCAGACCCCCGACCCAAAGACCCCTGGTGGCGCAACCCGGAAAAGCCGCGGGCGTCAAGGACTGACGCGAGGGGGTCACCTGATGCGTCAAAATAAGACGCAGAGGGAACTTTGGAAAAGCGTCAATATGTGACGAGTCGGGAGTGAGAATGTGTAGACATTTTACACAACTTATGCCAACTTGTGAAACACTAAAGATGTCTAAACAAAAGATGGAATTAAATAAAAACGTACTAGAAGCCTCTTTTGAACCCATATACACTGTAATGCTAACAATTAGATCGAWTACAACCGACATGAGTAAAATAATAAAATGTTCACAAGTCGACGTAAGTTCACTAAACTGTCACACTATGACAGGGCCTTAAGCAGACTAAACACTTGGGTTTGCTTTGAAATTCTGTGAACAGATCTACTTCCACCAAAAAAAAAAGATTTTACTTATAATGTATTTAATTATTTGTTTAGAATCTAACACAGATTATAAGAGCTGCTTTGATTGCTTTTTTCAAAGTAAAAAAAGAGAAGTTATTGTGTTTATGTGGGGTGTGTGAGCTCATTGGCTAGCTGGACATAAGTGACCTGCGGTTCACATTCTGCCCGTGGGCCACCAGTTGCTCATCCTTGATCCAGACACAAGTCTTACTGTACATAGAGGGTTGGGCTTTTTGCAAATGGTTCAATGCTTGAACAATGATATATATTTTTTATTTAATTTGAGAAATACTTAAGCGTACTCAGTATTTTTTTTATTATAGCATTAAAAAAAGAAGAAGAAAAAAAGATTTTTAATATGACCTGAAACAATAGCTTTGATACTTTAAAATGCGGTTGTGGAAAGGTTATGAGCATATCTACTCTGGTCAGTTTGCTGCTCTTCTSCCTTTTCTTACCTCTCACTATAGTATTTCTGTGAACCGAGATGCCCGGCTTACAGTGCGGTTTGTTTGTGTACTAAAAACAGCGGCACAATTTATTGCAATCAGACACTGTGTATAGGCCAGGGCACCTGGGGAGCTCTGTGTGTGCTCCCACCCTGCGGCGAAATTGCTGTCAACACTTTCTTCCACCTTTCAGCAATGCAGCCTTGGTCTGGCCACAGTGTACCAATCCCCCGCTGGGAAGAACACCACGTTACATTCACCACTCCACATTAACAATCTTTAGATCTCCAGTGAGAAAACCATGAGCGTTTTCCACCACATTGTGTCCGTCTTTTAATAGCGAGGCATCTTTCATTTCTGTGTTTATCTCTCATCCTTGGCTGAACTTGACTTCAAAAAACCAGCAGCCTGAAAAGAACATGTTGTAGTTTGCAAGCAAGCTAAGAAGTGTGCAGTGAATTTACACCCCAAATTTTACCGTTCGGTATGAAAGATGCTGTGTTATTGCTAGCAACTGTAATTTAAATCAGAACTTTCTGTGCAACTTGATGTGTATTCGGACCACTTTGATGTGCTGCCAAATTTGCCTCAACAATGTGTGTGATTCTGTGGCTTTGACGTGTGTGTGTGTGTGTAAAGTGTGACATTGATTCAGACCATTAGTGAGATAATGTAGACCGCCATTAAAGGAGACAGAGCTGGGTAGATAAAGAAGAAGCGGAGGAGCGAGATCTCCACTTTGCATAACACCCAGCCCTCTGTCTAGGGAGAAAGAGGAAATGTGGTCATGAATAATGCATCACATCTTAATTTATGGCCAAACTTTAAATAGTGCTGAAACACAGGAGGCATCCATATATGAAAATCCATCTTGTTGTATTTTGTGCTTAGGCTGTAATCTTTGAAGCCAATTTACAGCAACATAATTAAACAAGATGGAGTCATTGAAAAAGAAAACCATTTCACAAGTATGTTTCTTCCTTTGACAACCGTAAATGAGATATTTGCTGTTTGGTTGAATATTTAAAGGGATAGTTCAGCTTTTGTGAAGTAGAGTTCTGTGGAAAAGTTATGAACAAGCAATATGTTACCAGTTGTAGATCAGTTTGGAGAAATAGAGTTAAATTCTCCAAAAAAACACTCAAAGCAACTCTGATYGTAAAATTGCAAAGCTGCTAATACAAACACTTACATGAATTTTACATAGTTTTTACCTTTTATGTTGTGTAAACAGAGGCAGCAGCAACTAGCTGTAGCACTTGCAACATGTTTATCATAACGTTTCTGCCAGACAAAACAAACAGATATTGTAAATCTGACATTAGTGTACAGGTTTATAAAGAAGTGTCTGCGTGTTATTTTAAGTTGGCAGCAAATAGCATATTTAGTTTATTTTTATTGATTTTTATTGATACTGAAATGTTTTTTTATGATCAGTGTCCTGTCTATGAACTTCTGTGATTAATTTGTGGATTTTTAGAAACCATTTAATGTTTATTTAATTTAACACATGTTAAATACATAGACTTTTACATTTAAGGTTTGCAGAACTCCCTGTCAGTCAAATAGTTAGGCCAGGTCTATGATGTAATTACCGGGGGGTGTGGTTTGGTTCTGTAAAAAGCAGTTTTGTGAGTGAATTTGGGTCATTTGCTCAGACTCTATATAGCCAGAGGGATGATCTGAGTGAATGGTCCAGTGTTGTAAGGTTGTTTATTTTACATGTTTGCAAATGTTCAAGTCAGAGAACTGGATCAGTTTTCTGTGTTGGATCGAGGCTTTTAATTTTAACATTTAACAGCCATAGTTTATAGCCATATTAG